AGTAGACAATCTCCCAATGGATGAATAAGCTAGTTTAATCTCCATACATATCGGCAATGCACAAATGCTCTCATCATTGACCATTCTACACGGACCCGACACACCATCTAAAGGCTTGTGCTCATCCTCATTGAAATTCTGGCCAATGTGAGCATGGGGACTCAAGAATAGGGTCTTATCATCAAAGTTTCTCACTGCCCTAACAAACCTAAGTCATAACTTATGATCGAGTCTTGAATTAAGGTTTCCCGCAGGACCCTTGGCAATCAAAAGGTATGGAATCGCCATGGAAGTCCTGAAGTGTCATGGTGGTTGAGCTTCCCGAAACTTTCTTATTCGACATACACTCTCTCTCTCTCTCTCTCTCTCTCTCTTAATATGTATATTCTCTATGCAACACAATCTCTCTCTCTGTCTATCTCTTTCCTTGTGAAATTAGTATTTCTCTCTCTAGAAATCTAACAAAGAAAGAAGATAGAGAAGAAAGAGAATCAAAAGGGAGGCAAAATTAGCGCTCTGCTCACCTATATCATATACAAATCTATAATACATATATATTAAGGGTAAGATCATCCATAAAAAATTAAAAATATATTTTTTCTAATTCTTTCTGAAAAGAAATGGTACTATTTAAAGGGGTTTAAAAGATTAAAAAAAAGTACGATTGTACTTTTCACATTAAAATGTTGGGCCTAAGGGGCTTTAGCCACTAATAAAAATCAAACTCAAGATGAGATCTCCCTATTTCATCCCTCTAATTACACATCTAATTTGAAAAGAGAGAAAAATTTGAAGAAAATTTATTAATTGATATTATTTATCACCTCATTAGATATACAATTAAGAATGATAAAATGGAGAGAGAGAGAATTTCTCTTTAATCAAATTAATAACCGTTAAGAAGTTAAACTAAAATGGTCCATTCAACTATTTATTTTTTTTGTATTACCTTGTTGTATCAATTAAGCCGGGGTTGTTAACAACTCCGCCGGTCCCAAGCCCGGGTTAAGGAAGAGGGTTGTGTGTTAAACAGCTGACAGCCAACACATAAAAAAGTTGTTCGGATCCCTTATGACAATAAATCCAACTTTGAATCGTTTAAATGCGAGATCGTTCCCCTCAAGTGACGCGTTGCGCCTGCCTCCGGGTGTTTCAAAAAGTGAGTAAGGGGCGCCGCATCGACGTCTGGGTGCGGTGAAAAATGGGCATAGATTCTCACATTTTTCTAGACGAGCGCGAGTAAAGAAGTTAGTCCAAAACTATAGGTTTATGGTAGCCACTTGGAGTATAGGAACCTTAACTGGTAAAAAGATGGAGTTGATAGATGTTATGATTAGGAGGAGAGTTAGTATAGCTTGCGTGCAAGAAACCAAGTGGACGGGTGAGAAAGTTAAGGAAATTGAGGATACCGGTTTTAAACTGTATTATAGTGGTAAGGATAGACGCAGGAACGGGTAGGAATCTTAATTGCCAAGGGTCTTGTGGAGAATGTAGCGGCGGTCATAAAGAAAGGTGATAGGATTATGTTAGTTAAATTAGTTATTGGAGGGAATATAGTGAATGTTATTAGTGTATACTCAAGTAGGATTAGATGATCAAACTAAGAGGGATTTTTTGGAGCAAATGGATAAGATCTTACAAGAGATACGCATAGGAGAAAACCTGGTTATAGGTGGAGATTTTAATGGCCATGTAGGCATAGATAAACTAAGCTATGAAAGGGTGCATGGTGGATATGATTTTGGTGACAGAAATGAGACTGGAGAGAGTATCTTAGATTTTGCGTTGGCTTCTGACCTAGTGGTGGCCAATACTATGTATAAGAAGAGAGATGAGTATTTGATAACCTTTAAGTGTAGGTTAGTTAAGAGCCAAATATATTACTTCTTAGTGAGAAAAGTCGACTGTCTAAAATGTAATGATTGTAAGGTGATTCTTGGAGAGAACCTAACCTCTCAACATGGGATTTTAGTACTAGATTTATGTTTTAGAGGGCAATACCAAGTTAGTAAGGATTGTAGGCGTCGTAGGACGAGATGGTGGGACCTAAAAAATGATAAATTAGAAATATTTAAGAATAGAATGGATAAAGAAGATACTTGGGACTTAGAAGATAATGCTAACACTATGTGGAACTCGATGGCCAATTGTATTAGGAGAATCTCAAGGGAAGTGCTTGGAGAGTCGAAGGGAACAAGACCCAGCTCTAGAGAAACTTGGTGGTGGAGGGAAGAGGTTCAAGCGGTAGTTAAGGCAAAAAAAAGTGCTTTAAAAAGTGGCAAATGAATAGAACTGAGGAAAACTTTAAGAGTTATAGATTGGCTAATAAGGAGGTCAAGAAAGTAGTGAGAAAGGCTAAGTTGAAAGCTTATGATGACTTATATACTAGACTAGATAGTAAGGAGTGAGAGAAGAGAGTATACAAACTTGCTAAGATACGGAAAAGAAAAACAAGAGATTTTAATCAAGTTAAGTACATCAAGAGTGATGATTCTAAGGTATTGGCGAGGGATGAAGAGATTAAGGAAAGATGAAAGAACTATTTTGAGAAACTATTAAATGAGAAACATGGAGATATGGCAATAGGAGAAGAAATAGCCAGTAATACGATAAACCAAGATCATAGGTTCTATCGCAGGATTAGGAACTTTAAAGTGGAGATTGCACTTAAGAAGATGAAATCAAATAAGGCTTGAGGACCAGATAATATCCACATTGAAACTTGGAAGTGTTTGGGTAAAAAATGGGGTTACTTGGTTGACTAGATTGTTTAGCAAAATTTTGTTGACTAGGAACATGCCAGATAAGTGGAGAAAGAGTATTTTAGTGTTAATCTATAAGAATAAAAAAGATGTCCAGAATTACAACAATTATAGAGGAATCAAGCTAATGTGTCGCATAATGAAAGCGTGGGAGAGGGTGATAGAACGTCGATTGCAAGATATGACACAGGTGTTAGAAAATCAATTTGGGTTTATGCCTGGCATGTCAACAATGTATGCGATCTATCTTTTGAGGACAATAATAGAAAAGTATAGAGAAAAGAAAATAGACAATCATATAGTGTTTATCGACCTCGAGAAAGCATGTGATAGAATGTCCCGGGATATAATATGGTGGGTGTTAACGAAGAAAGGGGTGACAAAAAGTTACATTGATGTGATTAGGGACATGTATGAAGAGGTAGTGACCATTATTAGATCGCTTGCTAGAGAGATAAATGAATTTCCTATCACTGTAGGGTTACACTAAGGATCCACCTTAAGTCCTTATCTTTTTGCTTTAGTTATGGATGAGTTGATGAGAAATATCCATAATGACGTGCCATAGTGTATGCTTTTTACAAACGATATAGTGCTAGTAGATGAGACTAGAGAATGAGTTAATACAAAGTTAGATATTTGGAGAAAATCTTTTAAATCTAAAAGATTCCGAATAAACAAAACTAAGACAGAATACATGGAGTGTAAATTTAGTAACAGTAACAATAAAAACAGAGGAGAAGTGAAGATTGAGAATCAAGAACTGTTTAAGAGTAAATATTTTCGTTATTTAGGGTCGATTATCACAACAGCAGGGGAGATTGATACGGGTGTGGCCCATAGGATTAAAGCGGGATGGTGTAAGTGAATAAGTTCATCTGGAATACTGTGCGATAAACGAATACCCACTAGATTTAAAAATAAATTCTATAAAACGGCTATTAGACCAATGATGTTGTATGGGACAGAGTGTTGGACAACCAAAAAACGTGTAAATAAGATTAATGTGGTTGAGACGAGAATACTAAGGTAGATATGTGACAAGACTAGACAAGACAGAATTATGAATGAGTGCATTCAAAAATGGATAGGAGTAGCACCAATAAAAAATAAGCTGAGAGAATCGTTTGAGATGATTTGGTCATATTCAACGGAAACCAACAGAGACAGTAATGAAAAGATTCGATACTGTAACGGTAGATGAAAATGTTAAGAGACATAGTAGGCCTAAAGTAACATTGGTTAGCGTTGTAAATAGGGATATAAATCTACTTAATTTGACTAACGAAATGACCTTTGATAAGGTCACGTGGAGAAGAATTATTCATATAACCGACCCTATTTAATTTGATTTATTACCTTGTTGTATCAATTATATATATATTTTAGTTTGGTTTATTACCTTGTTATATCAACTATATACATATTTTTTGGGGTCACGTTCAATTTAAAATATATTACCTGCTTTCAGGGTTATAAAATAAAAACAAATAAAAAAAATAAAAAACATTCTTTCCTCAATTATTTCATTATCATACCTCATTTCCCTTCCCACTCCACCTCCAGCTCCACCTCCTGGATATAGATTTGGATCAAGGTTTCGATTTAAAGCTCCGTTTACTTAATTTGAGTCTAAATTATTACTAATTAAGAACCCATCAACATACCCACCAAAAAAATATAGTTTACTCCAAAATAATATATATAAATCAAATTTATTCAAAATGTAACCTGCACGACTTCAAATTTAAATTTACATCATACATTCTAATTCCAATTCCAAGATACATATAATTTCTCCATCAAAAACCAAGAGTAAACATTAACAATACCAACCACCAGAATTTTCAATCAGAGCGAGAGAGTCAATGGAGTTTCTATACCTCAGAACACAATAAAATACCCAAATGACAAAAACAAAAGCATCCACACCTCCACCTCCAATGAGTGATCTACCACGAGGAGATGTACCATTTCAGCCTTTTTGCTTCCTTGAACTCACCCTTTCTAAAGATTACAGAAATAAAATAAAAACTTCCCATTTTCAACAAATTATCAGGAGTAAAAATTCACTCCAAAATCACCACCTGCCCAACCAAACCGCCCAACCAAAAGAAAGGGCCTAAAGCTAGGGATAGGACTGTAAAACAAACCGACTTATAACAAACCTTAGCCAACCGAACAAGTCAAATTTGAGTAGCTTGGTTGGTTTTGCAGCCCAAGCTAGTCAGTCCCTTGTGGTAAAAATTCAAATACCCCAACTTCCCGCCTCTTCACCGCCTAAACATGTTTAATGATAGAAATCATCCCTTAACGGTTAAGAGATAACGACAAATTGATGCTTTGATTATTAAAATACAGGGATGAAATGAAACTAAATAACTAAGGAAGAAGAGCATAGATTTCATGCACGAAGCAAACATACCATTCAATGGCGACAAACTAGTCTAAGTGCAAGCATTACCAGACGAGATGGTTAATGAAATCAAAGGCAACTGTTAAGTGAACCCAGCATCAATCTGGGTACTGGATAAGTTTCAGGACTATAAAAAAGCCAGAAATCTTAGAAAAGCACTCAAAAGGGGTTTTGTATCTGTCAAACCAAACCAAAGTCTTCCACAAACCGGTCTTGTTTCCATAATGAACCCTCGGATGCTGAGTTATGTACCACATCTAGAACCATCATCCCCGTCAGTCCTAGAAATAAGGCACACAAATGAAATAAGATATCAATTGGTAAATTGATACATCATGGTTACATATGCAACAAAAAACATTGGTGAATTTCTAGGAGGGCAAAATCAGGCACAAATGCAAATGAAAGAATGCCAGAACTTAAAGAGAGTACAACTCGTGATTCAATGCAGGATCCTAACCTTGTTTGGTTTTATTTTCACATGCCCTTAAACTAAAAACTAGTTTGGTGGGGAAAAAAAAGAGAAAAGAATACACATCATTTTCATGCCTCTTTTTTAGGGCAAAACTAACTTTAAAATTTTAAAAATATATTTTTGGTGCTTATTTTCATCAAACTAATTTATATTTTTTTGTCAATCACTCACCATCATTGCCACCATTGATCCATATAGTGGGACTCCACCACAGATCACCGGCAGTAAATACCCTGATCTATATGTGGAGGAATTTGCTTTATCTCAGTTCCGAGTTCTTGCTCAATCCTATACCTGTTGAAAAGGGTACAAGAAACTTAATATGGAGCTCCAATGTAAAAAAAAAACAAAGATGAAGAAGAAGAATACATTCTTATTCTTGTACAAAGGAACAATAGACATACAAGTTGAAACGATCCTCATAAGTGATCAAATTCACCGCTAACCCGAGGTGTCCAAACCTCCCTGATCGACCAACCTACGAGTAACATGAAAATAGATGAGAAATAACACAACTACACACGAGTATTGTCCAATATGAAAACTGTCTCAACCTCACCCTGTGAAGATAAGTTTCTGCATTCTTAGGAAAATCAAAATTAATCACGACATTGACTGCTTGAATGTCTATCCCCCTTGTAAATAGATCTGCAATCACATCCCAAAGAAAAGAAACAATGAGCACAACAATCTTAAACACACAACAAATTCTAGTGAGATTTGGGAAAATAATCCCCGTGCAGAACTTTCTAATCATGGACCCATCCCAATTTTCACAACCCACATTTGAATTGCATGCTCTTTCCATGCCCATCACACTTGCTTTCAAGTCGATCAGAAATTAGTGGCAAAGTAGCCCACACATTCACATTTTTCTGTCTACTGTAAAACTTCTGATATGATTCCAATAAATTGACAATTCCGCAAGCGTGACAGACATATGATGGGCTTTTGCAAAATGTGGATACCGAAAGAAGTTAACAGACATAGAAGTGAAAAAGTTCTACACCACATGAGATGTTACAGTTGTACAATTGTACATATGCATGTTATCCATGGACATCAATCTATAGTGACTTCATCAATATAATATAGACAAAATATGCATGTAGCCCACACAGCAATAGTATAGTACTGGTGGAAACCAGAAACTGTCAATACCATACCTGTACAGACAAGATTCCTGCATGCACCATTACGGAAATCATGAAATACTCTGTTGCGATGATCTTGAAGCATCTTTGCATGAATGTAGAAGCAAGAATAACCAAGCTCTGTAATTTTCTTGGCCAGAAGTTCTACCCGATTCACAGAATTGCAGAAAATGATTGATTGGTTGATTTGAAGCTGTAGATAGCAACATTAAAATATATCCATGAAAAAAGAGCAAATAATTATGCACGATCCTGTTAGAGGACAAACCTTTGAGAAAAGAGTGTTTAGGCAGTGGACTTTCTGTCTTTCTTCAACAAAAGCATAGAATTGTGTTATACCCTTCAGAGTAAGCTCATCCATAAGGTTAATAATATAGGATTTCTGTAAATATCTATCTTTAAAGTCTTTAACAGTAACCGGAAATGTGGCTGAAAACATCAATATTTGACGATTTGCAGGTAGAAATCGAATCAGCTGCTCCACTGATGGTTGGAACTCTGGAGACAACAGTTTATCAGCCTGAAAGCATATATCCAAATGCCATTAGATTCTTTCATTTTAATTGTTAAACCAAGCAGAACATGAGAAATAATACAATCAGAATAATCACAAACTCCTTCACTTAGACCTCGAATCTACTTATGCTAACTTATTTTTATACAAGCCCAACTTTTAGTCTTTAACAAGTATAAAGTATTAAGAAGGGCCCATAAAAGGCCTGACTTGGATCTTAACTAATACAAGATAAATGTGAAAATCCCCAAACATCAACGATATAGACAATGTCTTCCATAGAATTTTGTTCTCCCATGCGAAAACCTAAAGTAACAAACTCTTCAGAAAACACTGGTGGTGCCTCAAACTCAAACTCCACCGTAAATTGCTAAACACTGTTATCGATAATAGAGAACTAAATGATACTTCCCACAATTTTTCGAGGTTGACGTAATCTAAAACTTGATTCTCCTCAACGAAGTCAATATTTGACAACTACAAGTATAAATAAAACAAGTAGAACATCACAACAAGTCCATAATATATTCACCATTGTAAATTACAAAGACTTAATCAAATTAAACAATTTCTCTCTTCTATTGTACACTTAAAACCTTTTCACTAATTTTCTTAAGCAACACACACACACACACAACAACGACAACTAGGCTTAACAAAACAATGTTAAATCATAAATGAAATTGATGAAATCGAGATATGATATATTGTACCTCATCCATGACGAGCATTGCACAATCTTTCAAAACACAAACACCTTTTTTAGCAAGATCTAGTATTCTTCCAGGAGTTCCAACGAGTAGATGAACTGGTTGATACAAACGCATTATGTCATCTTTTAAGCTGGTTCCACCGGTGGTAACCATGACTTGAATTTGTAAGTGCTTCCCAAGTTCCTTACAAACTTGGGATGTCTGTAGAGCCAATTCTCGTGTTGGAACAAGTATGACGACTGCACAAAAAAGACATAACATAACTCAGGTAAAACACCATAATAACACAATCTAACAAAGTTAAGGTCAAAGACATACTGCATCTAATACACGCAATTATGTGAGTACATAATAAACTAAATCAAGTATCACAACCCTGGAAAGATTCATGATCCGCAATCAACCAACACAAGTTGAAAATCCACGATTGTGGCAAGCCACACAATTATACATTTCACATGGCAAGCATTTGTCATGATGTGGATCTAGAGGACACTGGACACCAACTTTAAGCCTGCCAAAATGTATACTGGCCTGGGAACTCACTCAGAAAAATATCTTCTAATCAACCCTCAAACATGCGAGGGTGGGTGCATATATTGGTAGTTATCCCTTGTTGACCCTCAATGGCATACTTGGGTTAATCATATTTCCAGATGCAATGTACTGAAAATGTAGATGCATAATTGACTAAGGCTGACATTAGCAGAATCCTCTCTTCCAGGATTGAACATGTAGTGGAATTCAGAAAAAGAGCAAGAAGACACTTCCAGCCACATGCCCTTGAAGTATGCAACCGAGCCAACAATAAATATTTTATAATAACAAACATGTTCCTATATGCAGCACATTGGTCAAATATATTAACAATAATGGTTGAGATAAAAAAACCTTGGATAACATTGTTATCTTGATCAATTTTTTCCAAGGCAGGAATACAAAAGGCAGCAGTTTTTCCAGTTCCATTTTTGGCCCTTGCAAGAATATCGCTTCCAGTTAGTGCAATAGGAATACTTTCCTCCTGAATAGGAGACGGTCTTTCAAACCCCTTCTCATATATTCCCATCAGTAGTTCACGTTTTAAAAAATAGTCTTCGAACTCATTTCCTTTAGTGGCTGTCACATCCTGGGAAAAAAAAAGGGAAAATACTAATCAGGACTAAAATCTATGTAAAAACATAAGGCTGCATCTCCAACAAGTATTTACGAACAGTAAGAATGCCTCATCACTACATAACATAGATAGCTAAACCATCAAACTAAGAATTGCATTATCTAAGAGTGTCTAACATCATCTGACATCACTTCTTAGTGTTTTAACTAAAACCTCAAAAATATACCACAAAGGTTGCATGTCAGCTATAGCCTGAAAAGTTTAGCCAGAATGTTCAATACTGTATTTTTGCAGGACCCTCAGCGTATCCGATGAATTAAGCAACATAATGCCATCACTTATTTCACCCTGCTATGCAGATGACGATATTCAACCATATTATGATAGTAGTGGAGTTCTCTAGGTAGAACACTTCTGTTAGGACTCATTACATATATTCATCTTTCTATGAAACTATTTAATTTGTTCAATGTACAAAGAAAGGTTTCAGAGCAACATCCACAAGAGGGTGAACTAAGTGAAGAATTAATTGACTTGTGAAAATTACATCTCAAATGCTGCAGAATAGGTTTCTACTGGCCATACAACAGTTCACATCTATCAATTTATCATTGTCTTCTTTTAATGCCCCTATTCGAGTGAAACCAAGTAAGATCACAAATGCAACAAGTGAAACATTAAAAAAAATCAAAAAATCCCTAGAAACAAACAGGCATCATTGATGATCAATATATATAACATAGAATAGAAGAAGAATATTCACCAAAGTCATGATCTATTAGATGGCAGCTTGGCATACTCCCTAGAACTATGGAGTTTGTAGGCAAGCATTACAACACTGATTGAGATCTTCAGCTCTATTTCAATAACTTAGAAGGGGTTTAATACAATTGACAAGGCATCAGGCTAAACACAACCTTGGACGCTTAATGAGTGTTGCATTAAGTCACTCCAGCTAAAAGCTATGATATTTTACCAAACAGTGTCAAATGGTGTGAAATGCAAAGACAATATAACGATCAAAGTACAATAGTAAGAATACATTGCACAAACACATGCACTCTGGATCTGGAAAACCCCAAATGATGATTTAAGAGAAACATTATGGCAATGACAATTAAAAACATTCATGCAAGAATTCATAATCATACCTCAGTCATGTATCGAGTATCAGGTGGAGGAATCTTTAACCGTGCCTTCCAATCTTGTGAACTGAGAGGAAAAACAATAAAAACGCGAGTCGAGATCACATGTTAAGCACACCAACAATAGCACACAGATTTGATATAAAGCAAAGATACATAGAGTCCAATAAATAATGTAGACTAGTTCCCAATGCTTTCTGCACCAAATACAAATTTTGAGCTATGAAGAAAATAATTTGGTCCACAATACAACCAGTCAGTTTACATGAAAAATTAAACAAAATAGAGTGAAGATTCACACTGTTTGAAACATTTTCAACTTGCAACCATCCAATTCACTCCAGCTCTAACCCAAAAACATTGCAGCTTGCAATTAACTCTCACCATCATGCGTTTAGTAATTCATTTCATTTAGGCTGTGTTTGATTGGAGGATTTGATGAGGGAAATGGAAAGGGAAAAGGAAATGCAATCCCACTTTTTGTTTGGTTATAATCGAAAACACAGGAAAATAAAGTGAGAGGGAAATGCAATCCCACCTTTTGTCTTTCCTTTCTATTTCCCTTTTTCCCTTTCCCTTTCCATTTCCATCATCAAATCCTCCAATCAAACACAGCCCTAGAAAATGAGCTATTTATATTTCCACAACTAAGAACATAATCAATATATACCATTCAGTATCATAAACCATTACAATAACACAAACAACAATCAAATTTGATTCATTACTGCAACCAAAATTCACAAGCATTGATAACTGCACATGCATTTTTTTTTTCTTTTTTAATTCATGCTCCGTACTAGAAGATTAAAACAGAGTCTCCATACCTAGAATCGACAGCCTCCGACTGTACAGTCTTCTCAACTTCGACAACACTCGACTCGGCTCCCAATTGATTCCTCCTCAGCCACTGCTGTTGTTGTTGTTGCTGATGATGATGATGTTGTTGGTTCTGGTACTGTAAATGGTTCTGCATTGGACTCCTTTGCACATACTGTTGCTGAAAGTTCCTAGGTTGAAAGTTAGGGTTAGCATGCATGCCACCACCACCACGGCCACCTCCTCCGCCGCCCATCCCAGGCGGATATCGTCCTCGCGTATTATTCATCACAACGATCGAACCAAAACCCTAACAATTCGATCGGATCTTCGAACCAAAGAAAAAAACGTAACGAATCTATGAAATAACAATTATACACAATTGCGAAGCTACAGATCGAATATATAGCAATGGCTTTTCTGAGGATTCGAGGCAAAATCGTGGGCAATAAAAAAGCCACTATTTTTGCGAGAAAGTTAGAGGAATTGAAGAAGAAAATGATGTGATCGTAGAGAAATTGAATGATTTTGTTCGTGTTTTTGGAGGTTTCGAGCCCTAGTTGTAGAGAGAGAAACGGATACGAGGGAGAGGGAGAGAGAGAGAGAGAGAGGGGGAACAGAAATGGACGATGCGACCGTTCTAGGGCATCGTAGAGAATATTTATTAAATTGCTAAATGATTATAATATTTAGCAATATTTCTAAATTGCTACCGTTAATTTAGGTAAATTACATAAGACCTGTATAGAGGTTTTAAAGATTGCAGTTGACTCCTTTTGGGTATTTTGATATGTGTGCAAGTCACTTCGGGTTGCTTGGAAAGATGGTTTGGGGCCAAAATAATTAATAAAAGTAAAGTAGACTAAAATAGTTAATAAAATAAAATATTATATTTAAATTATAATTATTTTTTTTTTAATTATCAAATCGATTACCAAAAAAAATAATAATAATAGTTAATTATCATCTTAAATATAATTTTTTTTAATTAAGTTAAAATAGTCAAAAAATCAAGAGTACTGCTATTAGTCTCCTATTAATTATTTTGGACTCTTCATTTATTTGGATCCCCCTTTATAAATTCTAAAGGGGAACTTACCAATAAGTCTCATATACAAAGTTCAAGGCCCATATAATCCTCAAACAAAACACTTGCACTAATTAGTCCTACACATTTTTAATTGTTACCAAAAAATTCTTTTTTTTTTATTTTTAAATTTACAGATATTGTTATATCTTACTACCGTCGGACTTCCATCAAACGGTCACCGGAGACTCGTAGGAATGTTCAACATCACCGGGAAGTCGCCGGAGTATTGCCGAAAAGTTGCTAGAGTATCGCCGGAAATTCACCAGAGTGTTAAGAACGTTAATGGAAGTTGCCGGAATGTTCAAAACGTTCACTGGACGTTAAGAACATCACTGGAGACTCACCAAAGTGTCTAGAATATTGCCGGAAAAAAAAAATAAATGAAGAAATTAGAGCAAAAAAAACATAGCAAAATGCGTTAAATATTGATAAACTAAAAGAAAAAAAAAATGAAACGACAAAAAACAACAACAATGGAAAAAACATATGCTATTTTTCAATTTTTGTAACGTTTAAGCAAATAATCTCTATATTGATCAAACTGAAAAGTAAGTTTTGAAACTGTAAAATGCTACAGTTTCAAAGCAAAAATCTGTTAAGCATTTATCCTTATTAATCAAACTGAAAAACATGTTATGAAACTGTAAAATTTTACAGTTCTAAAGAATGTTATGAAAAAAGTTTTACAATTTTATACCATGATTCATTCCAGTACCAAAAAAAATTGAAATTGTAAAATTTTACAGTTTTAAACCATGATTCATTCTAGTACCAAAAAAATTTAAACTGTAAAATTTTACAGTTTTCACCACCTATAACTAAAACTCGAAAACTACTTGTTCAGAACTTGAAAATTTTCTCCATTAGAACAGAAAAAAGAGAATTGTATAACAGAGAAAATGTAGAAAAAAGTAAGAGATCGAAGAAGAGATGTGGATATAGAGAGAAAATTGAACTCCGGCAACTATTTTTTGTTTAGATCTAGCCAAATCTGATGTAGATCTACTCAGATCTGATGTAGATCTACCCATCTTCTTCGTCGGAAATATATCTTCTTCGTCGTCAGTGAGGATGAAGACAACGAGTTGATTTCGATGGTTGGTGGTTACCGGTAAACCCCGATCAATGAAGAAAAACGTAATCACCGGTCGTCGTCCATGATAAAGAAGATGACAGAAAAACGCAGAAAAAAAGAGAGAGAGGAAAACGTAAAGAGTGAGGCAAAAAGCAGAAAGAGAGAGAGAGAGGGGAAAGTAGGACTTTTGGGTCTACTCAAAAAGTTGTTGGATTAAATGGTGTCCACATACTTCAAATAGGACCTGTGGGTAATTTCCCCAATTCTAAAACCCTTATAAAAAAATTTCTTCTCCAAATAATACCAAAATTATCTTTGTAAAAACATTCTACCCGTTCAATTGAATGCATACCCCCACACCCCAAATAACCTCTCTCCCCAAAATTCTAACAAAACCTATGAAAGTGATTACGATTTCTTCTCTACATACTTGTTCATGACTTGAGAAAATAAATGTATGATTTTTTGTTGTTGATTCAAAATTTTTTTTTTATGATTCTGTGATCTCCATAAGTTTCAGTTATTTATATATTCTCGAACAAATAAGAAATGTTTGGTTATCTGTTCCCGAACAAATAAACAATGTTCGAGCATATGTTCTCGAATTTTGATCATATGTTTTGGAGTTCAGTCCCAAAAAAAAATGACGAATAATTTTTATTATTTTTGTTATTTTTTTTTTAAAAAACTTGTCTTTACAAGGCCAATCTCCTCTGAGTTAAGAACATTGTTAAAGTTATGAATTTCCTCTAAACTTTTATTGTTGTACTCCTCGTCTTATAGAGTTATGATTGCCAGAAAAAATTCTACTCATTATCATTATAAAAGAAGTGTAACTAATCAAATAGTTATCACCGTTACCGCCAGAATATTGTCGCCAAAAAGTTTTCAAGATTTTGAGGATGGACAAGTTTTGAAGGTGGGATTTGGAAAAGATTGATGAGTGGTGATGGAGGTAAGTGCTCTCATAAACCCTAACTCATAATGTAGTGAATGTATGGGTTTAATTATGAGATAGGGCGTCTCAAAATTATTAATATCATTTTTGGTAATATCATTTGAGATTATTATTATAATAATAATAAAAAAAAAACTAAAAAATGAGAGTTCAAAATAATTTATGAAGTGCTAATAGCACCACTCAAAATCAATTAAAATATCCAAATTTCCAAACCAGCCCTTTAACAAGTGTCTCAAGAGATTAGTTAAGAAAATTTAAAATTATTTTATATTTTTGTTGTATACATTTTTATTTAAAAACAATATAATCATTTCAAGCTTGATGTTAACAAAATCATTTTGATATTTTCATACAGGTTATACGTCCTCTAATACATTGTGTTAATATTATATTTTAGCACTTTACAATATCAGAATGATATGGTTTGATAAAAATATCTTTAAACAAAATAATTCCAATTCATGAATTTAATTCAAAGAATTCAGTAGAGTGGAATTTGGTAGCACACTACATTTGTACGCGCCAAACTTACCAACTTGGCCTTAATTTAAGAGTTGCAATTAGCCCTTGTTTAAATTTTTTGAACTTCTCAATTTTTAAAAAAATTTCATTACAATTATATATTGAAGTAAAATTATATTAAAAGACATCAGTAAATGAAATTCATCTATCAAGAAGAACTAACACTCTACAATATTGTATACTCACCTCCACCTCCACCCCCACTTCCAACTCCAACTATACGTATTTCACATTTCTAAACTCTAAACATATTACTCTTCATAACCAACCAATATAAATCCTAAACTTGTTACTCCTCATAATCATTTTAAACCCTGAATGTATTATCTTCATTACCATCATAAACCCTCTTGAATTAGAAATCTTGAACTGGAAAGCTCTTTTCAAGTCCAATGTATTACTCTTCATCAGTTATTTCACCTTGTAGAGTAATGGAGAACGATGACAACAATTCTGATGAGGTTGGCGTTCCATTGGTAAATCTATCTGTATTGCATTAACATTCTCAACTATTTTTAAACGTCGTTGTTTTGTTCGAGCTATTCAATACTGATTTGCTAACTATTAAGATTATGTTCGGTAACATAGTATTGAACACAAACATTTACTTTAATAAATGGGTTCCAAATAGTAATGCAGAGAGTCGGTAATGTTGAACCGAACATGACCTTAGAGGAATTTCTTATTTGCAGCTGCAATGGTGGGCTGAATTTCTGTCACAGTGAGGGTTTTTCCCTCACATTGTTGAGTCGATTTGCAGCTACAATGAGGGTTTTTCCTTCTTTCCAACAAGTTTCGATGCAATGTAATGGTGTTCTTCAACAGCAAGAGGTCGTCAGTGTTCTTCAATAGGAGATGGACCGTCATCAACAGGGGAAGGAGTGGGTGTGCAAAATTGAATGGGTGTGCACTTGGGTGTAAAAATATTATGAATATAGGTAAATTTTGTATTAAGTGGGGTGTTCAAATAAATCTTATTAAAATTTAAGATTTAGGATAGGGTTCAAAGAAATGAGGGGTCTAAAAAAATTAGATAAGTGTTAATGGCAATCCTATAATTTATTTGGTATGAAATTTTTGTTAGAAATAATATAGCAAATTTTTTATCATGATAAATTAAACGTAATAACACATTGTTGGAGTGTTTTTTTTTTTTTTTCCTTCACAAACCATGGGATTCGAACCTTAGCATCCACTCTATAATAACTCCCATATTAGCTTTGGACCCTTCTAGATTTATAACTTGTATTTTAGAAGAAAAGATTACATAATTTTATAGAATAGTTTGAAGCTTGAGCATTTGGAATTTTCTTACTCTCCGCCTTATGTTTATTAGAAGGGTGCACAAATGTAACATATTATCATTTATTTAAATTTAAAAGTAAACTTAAAATTTTGATTTTCAAAATTTGAAACTGCCATGATAGTTAAACTATCATGAAAAACGTGTGTAGGTGTAAGGGATTTTTTTATAATAATTATTATTATTTAATTTACATGTGGTAAAAGTTTCAAGAGATTAAATTTACCCCTCACTTAATATAGATATTAACTAATGTGGAGATGAAGACCAAATAGTATGCAGTAAATGAACACTCTTGGTCGATGAGTCACCAGACCCACCACTCCTACATCACAGATAATCTATCTTTTACTTTTATATGCACGAAAAAAATAACTAAATCAAACCAAACCAAGCCTTAAGTCCCATCAAATGGGATCGGCTACATGCACAAAAAAAATAAAATAAAAAATAGCTTCTTTTTTTTTTTGAACAAAAAAAAAAAGTGCTCTGGAGTGTCATCATAACATCCGTAGACTCAAGTCCCGAAATAATTGGTTGCCAACCTGATTTATAAAATAAAAACAACAATGATCCATCCCACTAAAAACATCACCACTAATAGCACTAATGCATTAAAAAAGTAAAAAAAAAAAAAAAAATACAACTCCAAGACCAAAATATCACATCATTAATGACAGGACCCACTGCCACCTAATTAGTGGGAGCACTAATTAGTGATCCCAAGCATTTTTCAAATAAAAAATAGCTTGCACCCAAGAAAATTGTGATTTGTAAGTGCCAAGTCACCTACTCCCACTAAATTTATCTATTATGATTTAAAGAAATGTCCACATCATGTCAACCGCAACAAAAATAAGGATCTAAATATTTGTATTAAATGACATCCAAGCCTATCAACCAGGAAGAAAAGACAGAATTAGATGATACTGGTGAAATCACTTGAAAAGAACCACCACCAATACTGGATGGCCCTCTTATCAGGGCAGCAAGTTACACAAATTGTGCATTTTTTTAAAATATATATATATTATGGATGCATGTTAAAAAATTGTGAAAATAGAGACTACTCATTTTAAGATAAATAAAACAAATAAATTTAGGCTATGTTTGATTGACATCTTAGAGGTGGGATTGGATTAATAATTCGCAAGCCCTATCAAACTCGTGTTTGGTTATCATAAAATGGCATGCGATTACGAATTCTCCCAAAAGATCGGATTAGCATTCGCATGGGGTAATCCAATCCCATAAGATCTTTTATTATTATTATTTATTTATTTATTTTTAACTGAATCCCATAAGATTGGAGATAGAAAAAATTATTTTATCATTCATTTACAAAAATAACAGTCAGTTTTTATGTAATCCCCACATCCGCAAACCCTATCCGCATAAACCGCAAACCGCACTGCGGGCGGTTGCGGGTTGACTTTTTCCCAAACCGCATAGATGCGGGCGGGTCAAAACCGAACCGCAAACCGCACAAAACCGATCCGCGAACACCGTCATATTATCATTTAAATTTAAAAGTATACTTAAAATTTTGATTTTCAAAATTTGAAACTGCCATGATAGTTAAACTATCATGAAAAACGTGTGTAGGTGTAAGGGATTTTTTTATAATAATTATTATTATTTAATTTACATGTGGTAAAAGTTTCAAGAGATTAAATTTACCCCTCAAATAATATAGATATTAACTAATGTGGAGATGAAGACCAAATAGTATGCAGTAAATGAACACTCTTGGTTGATGAGTCACCAGACCCACCACTCCTACATCACAGATAATCTATCTTTTACTTTTATATGCACGAAAAAAATAACCAAATCAAACCAAACCAAACCAAACCAAGCCTTAAGTCCCATCAAATGGGATCGGCTACATGCACAAAAAAAATAAAATAAAAAATAGCTTCTTTTTTTTTTTGAACAAAAGAAAAATGCTCTGAAATGTCATCATAACATCCGTAGACTCAAGTCCCGAAATAATTGGTTGCCAACCTGATTTATAAAATAAAAAATAGCTTGCACCCAAGAAAATTGTGATTTGTAAGTGCCAAGTCACCTACTCCCACTAAATTTATCTAATATGATCTAAAGAAATGTCCACATCATGTCAACCCCAACAAAAATAAGGATCTAAATATTTGTATTAAATGATATCCAAGCCTATCAACCAGGAAGAAAAGACAGAATTAGATGATACTGGTGAAATCACTTGAAAAGAACCACCACCAATACTGGATGGCCCTCTTATCAGGGCAGCAAGTTACACAAATTGTGCATTTTTTTAAAATATATATATATTATAGATGCATGTGAAAAAATTGTGAAAATAGAGACTACTCATTTTAAGATAAATAAAACAAATAAATTTAGGCTATGTTTGATTGACATCTTAGAGGTGGGATTGGATTAATAATTCGCAAGCCCTATCAAACTCGTGTTTGGTTATCATAAAATGGCATGCGATTACGAATTCTCCCAAAAGATCGGATTAGCATTCGCATGGGGTAATCCAATCCCATAAGATCTTTTATTATTATTATTTATTTATTTATTTTTAACTGAATCCCATAAGATTGCAGATAGAAAAAATTATTTTATCATTCATTTACAAAAATAACAGTCAGTTTTTATGTAATGAGAATTTTTATGTAATTTCATAATTTTAATCCTAACAAATTAATATTATCACACTAGCACACAAATGCAGTTAATCCTACATCTCCAACTTATACTGCCATATTAATAATCCCATCCACTTTTCATAATCACAATCAGCCGAATCCAAAAAACAAACATGGCCTTAAAAGACAAACTTTGCCTAGCAAAAGCATCAAAGCTACAACTGCCAACCATCCACAACCAAAGTTGTCAAATTATTCAGAACATCATCTAATCAAGAATCAAGAGCAAAAAGATGTCCAATATATTTGAAACTCATGGAAGCAATACATATAATATCAGATATATGCCATACAACAATCAACATCTAAACACTGAGAAATACACAAATTATATGCAAGGAATTATGAACTCCAGTTGAATACTATACATACCAAGTATATATGTTGTCTACTCTCCCTCTTTCCTCCCTCTATCAATTTGTGAAAATCAAGTTTTAGTGTCAGTATCTTCCATTATCAGCACCAACCTTACCTCCAGTCACAGCTTTCGTGGATGATTCCAATTCCGCTCTCAAATTCTCAACCTTTTCCTTCAATGCCACAACTTCCATAGCAGAAACTATCTCCTCCTTGATCTCTGCTTCCAACTTTTTTACCTTCCCTGAACTTGATCCTTTTGCAGCCTCCTCCCTCAACGTTTCAATTTTCCTACTCAGACCAGTTTCATTCACTGCTCTCTCAATCTCCTTGCTTATCTCTTCGTTCACCTTCACCACGTTCTCTTTCAAATTAGGAAGTGCAAAAACACCTTTTCGCCCGATCACTCCAACGATTTCCAAGTCAGCTGACTTCAGAACCTCCTCGAGCTCTTTCTTAGCTTTCTCGACTTCCTCTGCTAATTCAGAATCCAATGGATCCCCTTTCGATAACCTTTCCCGAGCCTTCTTCAAAAGTTCCTTCTTGGCTTTTATGTCTGCCGGGATTCTTTGATTAATCTCTTCTTTCAGTTTCTCACTTTTCTCTTTCATATCAATGAGCCTACTAACCATGTTTAGCTTTTCAAGCTTTTGCTTTAACCCAAGGTAAGCCCCGGGTCGTGACAAATTTTGCTGGAATTCTAGCATTATTTTGTCAGCTTTCTCCTTTAAATCCCGGTTAAGGGGATGATTTGTGGGGCGATCGGGTGCTTTAGATAACTCCAATTTTAGCGCCTCAATCTTATCCTGCAAGCCCATGGAAATGAATGCTTTGTATAGCTCTTGGTCTAAATCTTGTTTGAGCTTCTCCATTGTTTGGATTGTAATTGGATCCGAGGGTCCTTTTGCTTCTAGAATCTTCTTCTTGAGGTTCTCAAGATCTGACTCAATATCATCTGTCGTTGTATTAATATCGGATGGCTTCATGCTGCGTTTTCTTTTGGGGTCCACTGGCGTACCTTCTTGAAAACCTCCAACTCCAATTGACCTAAACTTGAGCATCCGGTGGCGGAGCAACTCTTCTTTATCTATCTTTGTCAACTCCTGGATTCAAAACAGTATCACTTTTAATTGCAATAAAAAATAGGGAGAATTGCAACTCAGTGGAAATTAACGAAAAAAGTTATGAAAACTGGAATTGTGGCATTACTTTCACTTCTTTCTGCTTATTTACGATTCCCTCTAATATATATATATATAAGAGATGAGAAAGCCTAGTAACAAAAACTGCAAATAATTTTCTAGAATATTGGATGGTTTAAGCAGAACACTGTTAGTATAAATTCATAATGATTAACGGGACACACTAATACCTCTTCCTAATGCAAAAAAAAATGACAGAAACAAGTTTTCACACCTTTTAGGGGAAAACCGACCACATGAACACAATGGATAGCTATAAGAAAGGAACTGCGTAGCATGCTAAAATGAACTTCTAACAATGTTGGAACCCGCAGAATCAAGCTAATATATATACACATATATATACATACTAGTATACGAAACAAACAGAAAATTTATATATGTGTAACACATTGAAACTTCTGTAATTTCCTACATTTTTGCTTGGACTATTGTTTTATTTACTCTGATTCTGTATATAAAGTTCTATGGAGTTTTTGCTCTGAATAGAACAATTTTCAGTACGCTGCGATTAGGAAGTTTGTGACACGTATAAAGGTTAAGCACTTACCTCCATGGCCTGAGTGATGGTATCCTTAATCTGTTGAGATGCCCACACAGGATCAGCATGTGCACCACCGAGAGGTTCCTGTGATTTGATTAATGAATAGCAAATCAATACAAACAAAAATGGAATTATGAAATAGCAGATATATTAACAAAAGACTGGTAAAAAGAAGAGTTGATTCTTGGTTGGATTTAAATGAGCCAAGAAATTAGGATTTTCAATTTATTTCTCAAATGGACAGATAAAATTTGCAATATCTGGGGAAAAAGAAAAAAGAGTTTTATGTGGTGCAGTTTTAGTCAACCAAAACTATGTATGTCTAAACAGAAAGGGAAAGGAAATAAAAAGGGTTAAAAGGAGAGTTGGTTCTTTGTTGAATTTTAAAATAAGATTAAAAAAATTTATGATCTTCCATTTATTTCTCAAAAGGTTCAACTGCATACTTGGCAAGAAAATATTCAGCAACAAAATAGCTAGGGCATGTGGAGGGGATTATAAAAAATCGGAAAATGCTATGTCACCAGAATTTTTGTGCACAAGAATAATGTGGCAATGTTAATATTGTAATTAAATGCAATTTCAAGGCTCTTTGCTTTTTAGTGATTGGTTTAAAACTTTCCCACATCATTCTGTATGTGTTTTTTTAAATGATTTTCTGTATTATATATTATTACTCTATAAAATCAATAAGTTGGTTCTAACCTACAAAGTTTTAGACGTGTGAAAAATCAAAAGTTTGGAACTTGTAGGAAGTTACTATTTTAGTAGGCTATTTTAAAAGCATAGCAACTTCCATTCCCTTCCACAATTGTATCATTGATCTTGGAAAAAATAAATCTGCTTCGTTAAATTTCAGTTTAAATAAAAAAATCTTAAATCCCACAAAATTTTTCACATCTGACCATTTCATATGATTCCACTTTTGATTTTCTTATTTCCAGCTCATTTCTTCGAAACAAATGAAAAAAATTGCAAAAAAAACTGTAAACATGATAAGAGACCCATGTGCTTACAGGAATTATACCATCTGCAATTCTGAGCCTGTAATGTTCTTGAGCAGTTATCTTCAGTTTTTCAGCAGCCTATACAAATTTACACCCAACATTGATCAACAAAGATGATTCTATATTTCTGGAAACTAAAATTATCAGATTCATCACATACCTTAGGAGCTGCTTGGGAAGACTTCCACAATATTGCAGCACATGCTTCGGGACTGGTACAGGAAAAGAACATTGAGAAAGAAATCAAATAAAAATCAAGGAATACAGTAACATGCAACACGGTTTAGAGCTGCAAGGAAGATAATCATTGGTGACCACGAAGCCTACATTTTTCGTTTTTATTACACTCACGGTGGAGAAAGGGGGATGAGCTTGCTGAAGGGGAATAAATTACAGCCGTTTGAACAGTACATTTGGTTAATGAAAACATTGTGCAGTTTAAAATTCATGAAATTGCAAAATAATCACAACATTTTTGTTCATTGATCTAATTACGAAAAGTAAGTTAAGAACCTCGTTTCATTGGGGGAAAATTCCTAATTATTTTGTTCACTTCGTTAACTAATTTTATGAACAAAGGACCAAGAAAAACACCTAATAGGGACTATGGATTACCTTGCAACATAGAATGCAGCATTTTCCAGCATAAACAACTTATTGGCACAAGCAATAGCAAGAGCACCACCTGAGCCACCTTCTCCAGTTACAACTGTTACAATTGGAACTTTAAGGCCAAACATTGTCCTCAGATTGTGAGCTATTGCTTCACCCTGCATATAAAAAGTGGTTTATTTATAAAAACTAGTACTAATCCATGACCAGGGTATACCTAAAATGGCATAACTTGCGTTGTAAGACACACAGTCCTCCACCTACCTGACCAAGTTCCTCAGATTTGAGATCAGCAAAAGCTCCTGGTGTGTCAACAAAGGTAATAATAGGAATACCATGATGATCGGCGTATTTCATCATGCGCAAAGCCTTTCTATAACTGTATCGAATCAATTTTTCAGGCTTTCAGCAAACATAGTTATTCTTTTGTTCCAAAAAATAAAAAGATTATTCTTTTTGAATAAAACCAAATGTGAGGCTGATAACAATTTTCAGAATCTATCAAATAGACCAAAAATCATGAGGTTAGGCTACAAGTTGACTGGAGTAATTTTCATGTTCCATTAGTGATTAAAGAGAAGAAAAAAAGGTCTCAAGACTAGGTCCAAGTTTTAAAGAAAAAAAAAAGAAAAGAAAAATGAGGAAACGAAAAGGGCCAAGCAAACTCAAAGTTTAGTTCATATATATATACCGCAAGGAAAGGATCAGTTGTTAGATTGACTGTTCAACTCCAGTATAATAATAATAAAAAGTACTAATCAAATGGATCAAAAGTTCCTTCAATATTGAATAAAACTCGAAGTTTCCAATATCAATTTATAACCCTAGAAACATACCCTTGAGGAGTTGGCATTGCAAAGTTACGTGCAATATTTTCCTTTGTGTTCCTTCCTTTCTGATGTCCTATGAACATGTAGCTTTTGCCATCCATGCTCCCAATGCCAGTCACGATAGCTGGATCGTCATAGCCTGCACGATCTCCGTGGAGTTCCACCCACTTGATGACAAACATAAATTACTAAGAATCTATATGTAGGTAGGAATTGCTATTAAAAAATGATATGCGATAAGGAAAAACATAGAGATATACCTTCTCAGTGATGTTAAAGATATGATCAAGAACAGTAGGCCTATTAGGATGTCGAGCAATATTAAGGCGTTGTATGGGTGTCAAATGCATGTATAAATCCTTAAGAGCCTGCATGTATGTCAGAAAATCTTACTGTTGGAACTGGATGAATTTCCACTGAAAAATCTCTGTAACTTGATAAATTAAAATCAAATGATTAAAAAAAAATTATACACATTTATGCATAGTGTCTAGTTAACAGCTTTGATCAAGTCAATCACATAAGCAACTTATGAAAATAGGATTATTTGGAAAATAATAAAGGGGAGGAGAATCTTCGGTGATTGGTAATGTTGATTACGTAAATTAATAAGTTAATTATCAATATATCCCTTGTGAAACCAAACAATTAGTGAATTTTTTTTGGAATGATTGATAGAGAAGCAAAGCACTAACACTCCATTGTTATCAATGCATTGATAGAAGGATTATGTGCAAATGGATTCATACTTCATAGAACTCAACTACCTAATGAGCAAAACTATGAATACCTTCTCAGTGATGTTAAAGATATGATCAAGAACAGTAGGCCTATTAGGATGTCGAGCAATATTAAGGCGTTGTATGGGTGTCAAATGCATGTATAAATCCTTAAGAGCCTGCATGTATGTCAGAAAATCTTACAGTTGGAACTGGATGAATTTCCACTGAAAAATCTCTGTAACTTGATAAATTAAAATCAAATGATTAAAAAAAAATTATACACATTTATGCATAGTGTCTAGTTAACAGCTTTGATCAAGTCAATCACGTAAGCAACTTATGAAAATAGGATTATTTGGAAAATAATAAAGGGGAGGAGAATCTTTGGTGATTGGTAATGTTGATTACATAAATTAATAAGTTAATTATCAATATATCCCTTGTGAAACCAAACACTTAGTGAATTTTTTTTGGAATGATTGATAGAGAAGCAAAGCACTAACACTCCATTGTTATCAATGCATTGATAGAAGGATTATATGCAAATGGATTCATACTTCATAGAACTCAACTACCTAATGAGCAAAACTATGAACAATTGTGATCTAAAAAATAAAAGCACATTTTCAATTAGCTAAAATTCTAGTTACCTGTTGATACTTGTTTTCCAAAGCACTAATTTGGTCACTGAAATCCATGCATTGATAGAAGGATTATATGCAAATGGATTCATACTTCATAGAACTCAACTACCTAATGAGCAAAACTATGAACAATTGTGATCTAAAAAATAAAAGCACATTTTCAATTAGCTAAAATTCTAGTTACCTGTGGTGATTATAATATGCCAACACTAATTTGGTCACTGAAATCCAAACCAGTTTCATCAGCCATTCTGCGTACCTGTAAGAAAGACATTGAAGTGAATGAGAAAAAAAAAAATACCGATAATAGGACGGGACCCAAATATTAAAATAACTAGGATGAAAAAATGAATATTTGAAGTTGCCATTAGTAACATTAAATCAAGTCACCTCAATGATCTTTTTTTCCAAATCAACCAGTGGCTTCTCAAAGGCAAGTGTCACTGGTTTGGGTTTCTCTGACATAGGCTTGAAGTAAGAGAGGTAAGTCAAGGGTGCACTGGTATTTGGATCAATATCATCGGGCCACGGGTAATCGTGCTTCTTCCCCTTTCTAACCTTTGCAACAACGCAAAATTTGCACCCCCGTCTGATCCTGGAGCCTCCCAAATCCCTCCACCAACTGCCATTTAAGTTTCTAAACAAACTTATCGGTGAATCACTTGCCAGGAACTCATTGCCAAAATGTAAATGCGACCAAAACAGAGAACCCAAGTCTTCACCTCCTCTTCCCCTCGCACCGTTGCCAGCTATCAGTGATATTGTAGTCATCCCAACTCCAAACCCACTATGCAGACAATTCAAAATTGTTTGTTTTCAAGTATTACATCCCTACATTCCAATTCAGAAGTTTATGTAATTGTAAACAAGAAACAAAGAAAGTAATGTTGGAACAATCTTCTGTGTCAAATAAACAACTTGAAACCAAATCAAAAAATAAATTACTAACATAATTTATTTATCGAAATGAATAAGTACAAAATTGATCAAGTCGAGTGTGTGACACTGTCCTTAAGACAAATTCGCCCCGCTTCGGTGCTTACGGATAAATGACGTCTATCTCTCAGGATACAATGATCTACACAGATTATAGTAGCACTCCAAACAACTTGTACGGCGAACTAGAACCTGTATTCTATACTCTCTGAATTTTTCCTAAAAAACTAATATGAAGAGAATTTACGCAAGATAGCAAAACCAGAAGGAAACCAAGAGAATTTTAGATTTTTCAGGATCATCAAACTGCTGGAGAAGTCCTGGTATTTATAGGGCCGAACATGTATGAATTTCAATCTGAACAGATGCAGTTTGAACCGAACAGGTAAGGTTTGAATTGAACCTGTTGAAACAGGTTTGAATATGTCCGATGCAGCTCTGTTAAAACAGTTTGAAAAAACTATTTTGAATCTACTGGAAAAGGACTGGAAGAGGCACTGTTTGGACAGAAAAAATTTGGTGCAAAATTTAAATTAATTTCGTTTAGAAATTCAAATAATTTTTCCCGCAAGAATTTGAAAAAATTCAAATAAAAATTGTCCAAAAAATTAATATTAGAACCGCCCCGATCCACAATCATACCAGGGCGACGGCGGCCGGCGCGCGTGCGTGTAGTTTGAGTCAAGGCTCACTTTATCCATAACTCCTCCTTTCTACAAACTTGGGGTGCCCTTGGGGCCCAACCCAAGTTTGTCCACCTAGAGTTTATAAACACATACAAGCTCTCTTCAAGTTCAATATGGGACTATAAATGAAATGCACATTTTACACTTTAATTGTCCATTCCACAAATCCGAAAACGATGTCAACTTCCCATTCACTCATAAATGGTTTTGACGAACCGTCTTCACCATATAACTTGCCATGCGTCAAGGAACACGTCACCTCTTTGGACCCACCCCAAAAGACGTGTGGGCTCCACTCAAATTTGGATTCATAGTTAGCCCAAAATAAGCCTATAAGACCCATAAATTCCAACAAGTAACACCACAAGTTGCAAAATGAACTCGCAATTCAGCTCAGATATAACTAGTTGAGCTAATTGACACAGGCAAAAGTACAAACAAACAGTACACAAATTGGCTTAGTGTGGACTATGCAAAATTGAAATCAATGAAACTTTAATACAATCAAAATGCAGATTTTATGCAATTGTAAACAAGAAACAAAAGAAAGAAACATCACAAATTGCAAAATAAACTAGCAATTCAGCACAGATACATAACTAGTTGAGCTAATTGGCAAAGCCAAAACTACAAAAACACAGTAAAAAATTGAAATCAATGAAACATCCACATACATATACATGAAAATAGAGGAAGAGAGAAGCTTAAAAGCAGATAATTGATCAAACCCACATACCAAAAGAGTCTTGGAAACTAGGGTTCATCAGCTAGAATCGTTTAGTGGGCACTATAAATAAAGCACTGATGAGAAGACAAGCAGAGAGGAAAGTGGGTTGAGAACCAACGGTCGAGATGTCCAGGGATCGGTTGTTAATTGTTCGTGCTGATCGTGTTGTTTACTCTTTGGGCATTTCGGTAAAATCACTCGAATGCGGCGAACAGTAGCGCGGGAGCAACTAGGGTGAGACATGTTTAGTTTGGTTTAATTTTAAAATAAATCAAAATCAAATACTAGTTAACCTTAATCAAATCAAATTATGAAAAATTTAAAATTAAATTAAATTGAACAATAAAAGGTAACTTAATTTAGTTTGGAATTACAATTTTTTAAAATTTTGATCTCGTTTGGAAATTTGGTTATTTTAATTGAATATATGAGATGAAAAAATGTTATATTTGTAATGATTTGTGAAATTTTTTTATAATTTAATAGATGGTTATGAGAAAAAAAATGATTGGTTGATGGATGAAATGTGACATTTTATTTCATTAATTATTTTAACATCTTTTTTTTGTTTTTATTGACTATTTTTGCTCAAAAAATTGATCTCAAGGCCTTTGGAGATGTTTGGAAAGTTAGATTTGTGGCTTTTTTGGGCTAAAACAACTAATAAATATAAAATTGATTAAAATAATTAATAAGATAAAATATTACATCTAAATTATTATAATCACACCTATCAAATCAATTACAAAAAAAAAAAAGAAGAAAAAAGTAACTATCATCTCAAATACAATTTTTTTAAAAATGCTTCCGACCACTCAAAGTTCATCACTAAATCAGCACTAATGACATGGCTGTCAACGTGGAAATGTGATGCAAACTTGCCCGTTTCTCTCTCTTTCTCATTCATTTCAAATTTCAAATTAACACCACAAGTTGCAAAATGAACTCGCAATTCAGCTCAGATATAACTAGTTGAGCTAATTGACACAGGCAAAAGTACAAACAAACAGTACACAAATTGGCTTAGTGTGGACTATGCAAAATTGAAATCAATGAAACTTTAATACAATCAAAATGCAGATTTTATGCAATTGTAAACAAGAAACAAAAGAAAGAAACATCACAAATTGCAAAATAAACTAGCAATTCAGCACAGATACATAACTAGTTGAGCTAATTGGCAAAGCCAAAACTACAAAAACACAGTATAAAATTGAAATCAATGAAACATCCACATACATATACATGAAAATAGAGGAAGAGAGAAGCTTAAAAGCAGAAAATTGATCAAACCCACATACCAAAAGAGTCTTGGAAACTAGGGTTCATCAGCTAGAATCGTTTTTAGTGGGCACTATAAATAAAGCACTGATGAGAAGACAAGCAGAGAGAAAAGTGGGTTGAGAACCAACGGTCGAGATGTCCAGGGATCGGTTGTTAATTGTTCGTGCTGATCGTGTTGTTTGCTCTTTGGGCATTTCGGTAAAATCACTCGAATGCGGCGAACAGTAGCGCGGGAGCAACTAGGGTGAGACTTGTTTAGTTTGGTTTGATTTTAAAATAAATCATAATCAAAGTTAACCTTAAACAAATCAAATTATGAAAAATTTAAAATTAAATTAAATTAAACAATAAAAGATAACTTAATGTAGTTTGGAATTACAATTTTTTTAAATTTTGATCTCGTTTGGAAATTTGGTTATTTTAATTGAATATATGAGATGAAAAAAAGTTATATTTGTAATGATTTGTGAAATTTTTTTAGAGAAAAAATGATTGATTGATGGATGAAATGTGACATTTTATCTCATTAATTATTTTAACATTTTTTTTTTTGTTTTTATTGACTATTTTTGCCCAAAAAATCGATCTCAAGGCCTTTGGAGATGTTTGGAAAGCTAGATTTGTGGCTTTTTTGGGCTAAAACAACTAATAAATATAAAATTGATTAAAATAATTAATAGGATAAAATATTACATTTAAATTATTATAATCACACCTATCAAATTAATTACAAAAAAAAAAAAGTAACTATCATCTCAAATACAATTTTTTTAAAAATGCTTCCAACCACTAAAAGTTCATCACTAAATCAGCACTAATGTGATGCAAACTTGTCCATTTCTCTCTCTTTCTCATTCATTTCAAATTTCAAATTCATTTTCACAATACGTTTGAAGACTCTCTTTCTCTCTATTCTTCATTCTTTTCTCTGTTGTGCCTTTCTCTCGACGAGCTCCCCAACGAGCATAGCTCTCCAACCCCGGCGACGATCGAGGTTGAACGCAGCTTCTACAACCTCGGCGACCCGACGAGGGCAGCTTCTCTTCATCATCATCTTTCACTTACGATGAGCGCAGCTTCTCTCCGTCTTCTCGACAGATCTGTCTGCACAGGTCAGTTCTCTCTCTCTCTCTCTCTCTCTCTCTCTCTCTCTCTCTTTTTATATATATATATATATATATATGCCCTGATTTGTTGAGATTTTTGTGCCTTTGACTTTGATTTCATCTATTTAGGAGGATTTTGATTTTGATTTGCCCCAATTTTACATTACATTGGATTTGCCTAAAAAATCTATATATATTTGGTGGAGAATATATAAAAATGCTTAATCATCCTTCAAAGCCACTGCCAAATCTTTCTTTCATCATGTTTTTTGTGGACATTGAGTTATTTTGTGGACACTGAGTTACACTAATGAAGTTTGCATTCTATGTCCTGTGTGAACTTACTACTTTATGACCTCTTAAGGAGATAGCACTCAAATGTAGAGATGAAAATCATCACCAAGTGCAATGATAAGTGACATTGAAAAACACATGCTCACACCTTAATGGACTACAAATCATAACAATAGAGTCAGTGATTGGTGACATTGAAAAACATGTGCTCACACCTCTTAAATGGAGCAACAAATGAAATAATTATATTTTGGATAAGGGAGAATTTGTTCTTCATTAAACATATTTTAAGATATTTATAGATTGGTATAATTCGATTTTAAGGTGAACAAAAATCAAATATATCAGATTGTAGAATATTTGGAACTAAAGTTCGGTTCTGTGATTCTAAATTAGAAAACTTGTCACTATATTCATACTATGAAGCTCAAACTTGCCTGGAGATTTTAAACATTCTCTGCCACTTGTTTATTTTATGCAGCTTCTAAACATTCTCTGTCACTATATTCATACTATGCAGCTTCTAAACATTTTTTGCCACTTGTTTATTTTATGGCTTTGAATGTAATCTATATGCTACCTCTTCAAGCACTGTAAATATCTCGAAATGTAGATACTGTGTTGAAAATTGAAAAGTACATAAAATTGATAACCTCTCCAAGCAACTAGAAATATTGAATTAGATATCTATTGCTATCTGCATAGAGCCCTTGATGGAGCGAAATGACAAAAAATGATTCATATAGTTGCCCACTTGATTAGGACAAAGGTTTAGTTTTGTTTCGTTTGTGTTATTATATCTATTGCTATTGTTTGTATAATTAAGCTTTGATATCATGCCAACATTTCACCTCCATAAGGTATGTCCCTTGTCTTTATCTTCTTCCTCAAATCAATATAAAGAGTCTAACCCTAGCCCTTCCTCCTCCACCCACCAACACACTGCTGATTATTAAGGTTAACACCCCTTTGAAATTAAATAACCATTGAGAGAAACACCAACAAAACTACACAAAGGAACAAAAATGCCACAAAGAAAAATGTTATAGATGTGTCTTTTTATGCAATCAGGTGAGAAATTGTTAGTTTTTTACATAACAATAGTTCACTTTTTAATTTAAAAAACCTAACTTTGAATATGAATCAGAAGAAAAGTCTAAAAATTAGTATAAGACGAGGCTTTGATAATCAAACACATAAATTGATGGACTAGCACTTAGATGTGCTACAGTATACACATTATGGACAATTATTAGGGTCTGAAATATGCATGTTTATAAGCACAATATACCATGTTTACCTAGTCATACCTAGTTTATAAGCACATTATACAAGTCTACCTAGTCGTGTGATTGGTCCATTTATGTGATTGTATTTGATACAAGTCTACCTGGTCATACCATGAGGTTTGGCAATATAATAGGTCCATTTATGTGATTGTATTTGATAGGTCTATTTATGTGATTGTATTTGATTGGCAATATGATAGGTCCATTTATGTGATTGTATTTGATACAAGTCTACCTAGTCATACCATGTTTATAAGCACATTATACTTGATGTTCCTCTTTCTGTTTTGCATATTGAGACAATCTCTAATTAATTGAGGTTTGGATTCATATTTTTGTAGATGTCAACGTACCTCTGATCATTTGACATATTTGAACAAAAATTGTCATAAATGTGGAAGAAAAACAACTATTCGAATTTCTAAAACGGAGCGAAACAAAAACAAGTTATTTTATTATTGTCATGATTGCGGTGCTTTTCTTGGATGGTGCTTGCCTACAAATGCACAACGTACACATGAAAGACAAGTGCAAATGGAGAATATAATAATTGTCACCGAACAACTTCGAAGTATGGACGAACACCTTCGATTTCAAACCAAACAACTTCAATTTCAGGGTGCGCAGATGCAAAAATTGCAGACAAACATAAATCGAATTTGGTGTTGTATTTATGGGATATTCTTCTTCCTTGTAATTCGTGTTGCATTAGTTATGAAGATGTAATAATTTATATGACAGTTAGAAGTTGAAAACGTTGATATGTATAATGATTTATGATATATGACAGTTATTTTTGAAAAGTATGAACATGTAATCTGTTATTTGTTTGTCTGTTTGAAGAATAGTTGAATACAGGTTGTTATTTGTTTGTCTATTTGAAGAATGATTGAACACAAGTTGTTAACACAGCTTGTTAACACTTTATTTTGAACACAGAATTTTCAGAATTTTATACACAAAATTTTCAACACAAATTTTTTGGACAGATTTTCAGCACAGCTTGTTAAGACAGATTTTTAGACATAGATTTTTTCATGACAATTTTTTAACACAGATTTGTGAACAGATATTTTGAACACAGGTTTTGAAGACAGATTTTTTGACACAGGTTTTTGAAGACAGTTTCTGAAGACAGATTTTCATGACAGTTTTTCAACACAGATTTTGAAAGACAGATTTGTGAACAGATATTTTGAACACAGGTTTTTGAAGACAGATTTTTTGACACAAGTTTTTAAAGACAGTTTCCGAAGACAGATTTTCAGTACAGTTTTTGAACACAGATTTTGAAAAACAGATTTGTGAACAGATATTTTGAACACGGGTTTTTGAAGACAGATTTTTTGACACAGGTTTTTGAAGACAGTTCCTGAAGACAGATTTTCAGTATAGATTTTGAACACAGATTTTGAAAGATAGATTTGTGAACAGATTTTGAACAAAGATTTTTTCAACACTATTTTTTAAGACAAATTTTTGGACACGAATTTTTTCATCACAGTTTTTCAAGACAGATTTTTGGACACACAGATTTTCAAGACAGTTTCCAAAACTTCAAAGTAAGGAACAATGTCCTTTTGTTCTCAACTATGGTACCATGAATAAAGTTAGAGCTCAGTGCAAGTGAACAAAAATTGAACAATGCAAGGAACAAAATTATGAAACAATGTGTTTTCATATCCTACTAAACACCATTAAGAGAGATGGTACATTGACTTAAATAAACCAAATTATGAAAACAACCAAAAAGTAAATAATCCAAAAAAACATAAAATAAATTGTCCAAAACAAAATAAACTCCAAGTTCAGTCGCCTAAAGTGCATTACAATTACAAGTTTCCAACTAACGAAAACTACCACGGTCATTGTAGTCCATTTGTACATTCAAGTCAACAAATAAAGACGGTACAACTCCATAAATTTGATGCGTAATACTCATGGATTGTTGAGTTCTCATAATTCCCGATGTGCCTCTAATACAGTCCGACAGGGTAAGAGATGTGCCGACTCCATAAATCTGAGTTGGGGCATTCATGAAACTTTGTCTTCTCATAATGTCCGAACTTGCCGAGGTAAGAGATGTGCCTCCAATAGCATTGACCATGTGTCCCTATTCAATTAAAATGAAATGTTAAAAAAAGTTTACTAAACATTATTGAAAAATAACATAAATTGCTCGATGTAAATTCCTATGATGTACATGTACCAACACACAAATACTATTTTCCATGCCAACCATATAAGGATAAAGCTCTCTACGTGCACTACATTCAGGTTGAGATTGGCATTAACCTTCACCTTTACCTCCATGCACCTTAATACCCTATATTGATCAAGGTTAATGAATGCCTCAAATGTATGACATGATTACAATAAAATATGAGTTGAATAGAAAGTAATGATACAAAACGGATGGATATGTATGAATACTAATCAATTTACCTTTGATTTGTTATGTTTTCTTTTGCTTGCCTTCAACAAATTGACTATTTGATCTACTTTGGCGACCTTTCTTTTACTAACTGGACGACCTTTTCGGTGAGCAACCAAAGGACTAAGCAACTTTGTATGACTGATTGCCTTTCTATTAATGCTGTCAATTGGGGAAAATGGTACATTACTAGTAATAGGTGGTACATTACTAGTCAAAGGTGCTACATTACACCCACCACCTTCATCATCTTTCATCACTCTTGCCTTGATTTCATCCAACCCATGGTCGATAATTTTTATTTTCCCTTCAGAGTTCCCAGCAAAGTGTACAATGCCAATCAATTTTTTGTTCATCTTATCATAGACCTTTGCATTGAAATTATCTCCAAAGCCAGTGTATGTGGTTTTTATGCATGTGTACCATCTATCCAAATCTTTTCTCCATCGTGGTAGAATGTATTTATTTGGAACCTCATTTATGCATCTTATAATGAGCACAACGAGTGAGTGAGCAAACATGATGCCCCTAAATTCAAACAACCGACACATAAATTGCACATCAAATTCTGTCGAATTATAATAGACAACAAAGTCCACATGCTTCATCTTCCCCAAAACTACCACGGCTTCCTTCACAAAATATGTACAAATTGAACCCTCTTCTTTCACAAGAAACGACTGACAATAAACTAGTCTCTTTATCTTTGCTTGAACTTTTTTGAATTTTGCATTGGTGTAGGCATCCTGATATTGCTTCTCAAAACCATACACAGTTAGGCAATCAAAGACTTTGTACCAAGACTTGAAGTCAGCTTTCTTCTTTTTCTCTACCTTACTTTTCAAGTCATTGTCATATTGTTTAACAAATTGTTTTAATGTAGTCTTTGGGTTGACATATCCATCAAAAAAGGCATTCATGCTCTTACTTCATTGTGTCGTTGACATGCCAGCTCAAAAAATATCTTTGACATAGACAGGAACCCATCAATGTCGCTCATCATATAACACCCCCAACCACTGACCCCAACCACTGATTCTCATAAAGATTGAATTTTGTAATCATCTCTTTCCATTTCATCTCAAATTCATCTTTTGTGAAAGTGTCATACATTGCATTTTGTAAATCCATCTTCATGGATTCATATTGGGAATACCCTTTCAATTTCTCCAGAATTTTCTTCATGATATGCCATAAACACCATCGATGTCAAGTATTGGGGAAGCCAATTTCTATAGTATTTTGCATAGCTTTGCACTGATAAGTTATTATAGCTTTTGAGGGATGATCTGTGTGATAACCCTGTTCCGTATTATGCTAATTGATCTTGATTATGATTATGATTATATGTTTGGTATGGTCTTGTGTGATAATTATGTGATTATATGTGTTTTTGTATTTCTATCTGTTCACCGTAGGAAAATCTGTTTGATTTTCTGCTTTAAGATTTAAATTGAAGGCCTTAGAAGCGTCAGAAACTAAAATTGATTAGGCCATTGTGATTAGCGTAATTTTTAGTGCCTATGGTGAAATTTAATTAAAAATTGATTCGGAATGAATTAATTAGTTTAAACTGATTAAATTAAGCACCATTACTTAATCCTAATCAAGTTTGATTAAGAAAGCTTATATAAGGGGCCCTATCAAGGTTGTTAAAATCGCGATCCGGATCGTACGATCGTACGATCCTACGATCCATTTTTAGAGAATCGATCCAAATCGCATGCTGAATCGTATTTTGCTCAGGATCGGAACAGGATCGTTAGGATCCTTAATGGGATCGTAGGATCGTATTTGGATCGCGATCCTATACGATCCTACTTTTGGCCCTTTTCTGATGCTTTTATTACAGGTTTGATGCACCTTCTCTCTCTTCTAAACACTTACGACATAAGATTAGGCCAAAATATTGGGAGAAAATTGCTGAGCAGCCTCCATCCAGCCTCCATCCAGATTCCAGCTCCAGGTATGCTTCGTCTGCTTCGTCTTCTCTTCTTCTTCTTCTTCTTCTTCTTCTTCTTCTTCTTCTTCTTCTTCTTCTCTGTTTGACTCATTCTTCTCTTCTTTTCTGTGCTTCGAGTCCTTCTCTTCTCCTCTATTCGACTCATTTTTCTCCTCTGTTTGTCTTCTTCGACTCATTTTCTTCTTCTCCTCCATCTTCTTTTTCCTCTGCTGCTGCCTTTTTTTTCCCTCTTCTTCCATTTTTCTGACTTTCATTCCCTTTTTTTTCCCCCATTTTCCACTTCGTCTTCCATTTTTCCCCTTCTTCCATTTTTCCATTTTCCTGTCAACCTAATTAAATTAATTTTTAACTTGTAATTTATTTTGTAGATATCACCAAGGAAAAGTGCGCAGATATATACCAGTGTACCACCAAGGAAAAGTGCAGCTTCAATTTATACAGGTTTGTTCTCATTCCCCTTTTTTTTCCCCCCTTGTAATTGTAATTTGTAACATAATTTGTAATTGTAATTTGTAATTTGTAAATTAACTTCTAAATTCTAATTTATTCTTATCTATAATTTCAATGAGGCCTTTGTAGGGCATCATGGTATTACTATTGTAATCAATTTATTTTTGAATGTAACTCGACTTTTTTCTCTCTGATATTTCACAACTATCAAATTGTAAATTGTAGTCAATTGATTCAGTGATATTCAATATATGATTGTAGGTTTGTCAATTGAGTTAACAATGTCTGCCTCTGGTTCTGGAAGAGGGAGGAAGAGGAAAAATGTTGCGGGTAACCGAACGGATCCTGGTTGGGAACATGGAATTGAAATAGATGCTGCAACCAAAAAGGTACAATGCAAGTATTGTAATGTGACTCGATCGGGAGGTATATATAGATTAAAACATCATTTAGCTTGTACTCATCAAAATGTTGAGCCATGTCCTCAAGTCCCAGAAGATGTTAGAGGAAAGTTCATGAGTCTTTTAAGAACTCAAACATTAGAGTCTCAAAATAAAAAGAGAAAGATGTTTGATGTTGGTGATGATTCTGAAGAGGAGGTGGAACTATTAGCATATCATCATCAAAACAAACAAAAACGGGTGGGTGCCATAGATAAATTTGTGATGAAGAAATCTGGACGTCAAAATCAAAAAACTCTCAATCAAATGTTTAAGAAAGAAGAGAGAGATGATGTTTGTCAAACCATAGCTCGTTTTTTTTACACTAGTGCAATTCCTTTTAATTGTGTGAACAACCCTATATTTCCACTCATGGTTAAGAAGATTGGGGATTATGGAAAAGGACTTGTGCCACCATCTTACCATGAAATTAGGGTGACATTTTTAAAAAAAGAAGTGCATGAGACACTACAATTGGTTGATGAGTTTAAGGAACAATGGAAGAAGACCGGATGTACAATTATGTCGGATGGATGGTCAGATAGAAAGAGAAGATCCATATGTAATTTTCTTGTGAATAGCCCTAATGGAACTATTTTCTTGTCATCACTAGATACATCCGACATTTCAAAAACAGGTGAAAAGGTTTTTGAGATGTTAGATGAGGTTGTTGAGAAGGTTGGAGAAGAAAATGTTGTACAAGTTGTAACTGACAATGCTTCTAATTATAAATTGGCGGGACAAATGTTAATGGATAAAAGAAAAGGCTTGTTTTGGACTCCTTGTGCCGCCCATTGCATAGATTTGATGTTAGAAGATTTTGAGAAGGAAATACAAGTTCATCGTGTTACAATTGGTAAAGGAAAAAAGATTGTGGCATACATTTATTCAAGAACCAATCTTATTCATTAGATGAAGGAGTTTACAAAAGACATTGAACTTATAAGGCCTGCGGTAACTCGGTTTGCTACCTCTTACTTGACATTGAGACGTCTTCATGAGCAAAAAGGTGCATTGTTCTCTCTATTTACATCAAACAAGTGGAGGAATAGTAGATTTGCGAAGTCTGAAAAGGGGAAAAAAATTGAAAATATTGTTTTGGACAATCGATATTTTTGGAAGGGTGTTTCTACCTGCTTGAAGGCTGCAGTACCTCTCATTAAGGTACTTAGGTTGGTGGATTCATATGAGCATCCGGCAATGGGATTCATTTATGAAGCAATGGATCGTGCGAAAGAGGAAATTCAAAAGAATTTCAATAATGTCCTAAGATGGTAAACTTTTTATTTAGTGTTGGCTATTTATTTACTCTTTAATACGATTTCCCTAAACTTTTTATTTATTCATTAATAATATTTATTAAATTGTGTCAGCTATGATCCTATATGGGCCATCATTGATAGAAGATGGGAAACCCAACTCCATCACCCATTGCATGCTGCAGCATACTTCTTGAACCCTCAGCTTCATTATAGTCCCAATTTTCAAGCTGATGCAGAGATTAAAATTGGGTTGTACAAATGTCTTGAAAAAATGGTCCCTGACACTAATGAGAGGGTGAAGATAGATTTGCAAATTGATGCATTCAAGAATGCAAGAGGACTATTTGGTATACAAAATGCAATCTTGACTAGAAAAAAGAAATCTCCAGGTTATTTATTTTTACCCTAACTTAAGTTGATTTGTAAGTTGTATCAATCTTATGTTATGATTATTTGTTTTGAAGAACTTTAAATTTTGAACTACTTAATTAAAATTTCGATGTAGGGGATTGGTGGGACTCTTTTGGTGATGAATGTCCCGAGTTGAAGAGGTTTGCAATCAGGGTATTAAGTCTAACATGCAGTTCATCGGGGTGTGAGCGCAATTGGAGTGCTTTTGAGATGGTACACTCAAAGCGGAGGAATCGTTTACACCAAAAGAGAATGAATGACTTGGTCTTTGTGATGTACAATTTGAAACTGAGACAAAGGCACAAGAATAGACAATCAATCATGAATCCATTATGTTTGGATGATGTTCCATCAGACGATGAGTGGATAACAGAGAAAGAGAATCCGACTCTTCCAAGAGAAGGAAATTGGTTGAGTGTGCTTGATAGGAATGCTCGACATGGATGTCATTCAGAAGATGAAGAGGCAGATGCTCTTGCAAGGGATTTGGAACAAGCATGTAAGTCTAGGTACATGATACATCTTTTAGTTTTAATTAGAAGTTGCAATTTGGATTTAATTTGGATTTTTTTTTTCTTCTCTAACTTGGGCCGTGACCATATTGGAGAAAATGTCGATGAAATTCATGAAGTAAGTGATGATGATGATATGGATGACAACATGAATGCTCCAAGGGATTTTGATCATGACTTTGATGATGCTACTATTGGTGATGATGACATTGAGGAGTTGGGTGACACTGTGGGTGATGATGAAGATGAGGGAGACAATGAGATCAACAATGTTGTTGATTGTGGCAATGATGATTTCGGCGATGAAGATGATGACTTGTTTTAGCCTCTTGTTTATTTATTCTTCTCTTATTTTAGTTTGTTTTGTTAAGGATATCAATGTTGTGCAAGTGTTAACTTGAAGACTTGAAGTTGAATTGCTATTTTCTTTTAGTATGTTCTTTTGTTAAGATTTGAGGAAAATGTTTGAATGACAACTTGAATTGCACTTTTTTATTATGTTTCTTTGTTTAAAAAAAATGTCGTAAAATGAGTATATTTGAATTATTTTTGTTAGTGACAGTGAGAATGCAGGATTTGAACCTCGATCTGCATAAGTATAGAGCGCTACCATTTAGCTACATTTATCTCATTTTGTTGGGTATTATATGTATTTTAGAGTATAAGTAGAATATAAGAATATTGCATTTTTCACTTTTAGTAGATCTTACGATCCCGATCGCAGTCTACATCCGATCCCCAGCACCCAAAAAGTTCTAAGTAGGACTCGAGATCTAACAACCTTGGCCCATTACACTTAACTTATTCTTTTGAGCCAAATCTAAAATCACATCTAGAGAAGAAGGTTGTTCTAGAAGAGAGAATAATTGGTATTTGGCCGCA